TGGGACTGCAGAATGCTGCAGTAGCTGTTTTGGTTCATGGTGCCTCTCGCTCTGTACAAGTCACCGACCCTGGATCTAGCAAAACAGCCCCAGACCATCACACTTCCTCCTCTGTGTTTGACAGTTCATGTCACACACTGGGGAGGCATCCTTTCACCTACTGGATCCTGATCCTGAGTGATGAACCATAGTTTTCATTTTTTTTCATCAGTCCATAATACCTTCTTCCAGTCTTCAGTAGTCCAGTGATGGTGTTTCATGGCCCAGGCAAGCCTCTCTGTCTTATTCTGACGTCTTAACGATGGCTTTCTTGCTCCAACTCAAAGTCTTCGCTTCACAGTTAAAACTAAGACTTGCGTACTACGGCATGCTTGAAGCTGTTGTCCTGTGAGCCACCTATCACGCAAGCTGTTTACTCTCAGAAACTTGTCCTCTGATTCAGTTGTATCTTTGGGTCTGCCAGACCTCTTCCTCCCAGAGTTTGCCCCAGTTCCTGAGTGCCTTTTGATGGTGAAAGAAACTGTACTCACTGACACCTTGACTTTCTTTGCAATTTCTCTGCAGGAAAGACCTACATTTGTAAGTGTTATGATGGTCTGTCTCTCTACCATTGTTAATAGCTTTTTCTCACCATTTTTGTAGCAACACACTACGAGGGTATGGTATCACAGTGTGCTCCAACACTGTTTTTATGCAGACAGGCGGGTTGTAAGTAGTCCAAAGAAACTGGAACACCTGTAGAAATTAGTAGCACCAGCTTTCAAGGCTTGATCAACCTCCACTGCTGCAGAACAGCTTTAAATTGTTAACCCCAGTTTGCGTTCCCTGAAAAGGCCTTTTTGTATAATTCTGAAATGTACATTATTTTTCAGTTTTGAATAACCTTACAGTTTTTTTTTTAACTCCGGCAGTTCACCGCTTACCCTTTTACCATTTCAAGCTGTTCATTGGACTTCAAAGTGAATTGCAATAAATAACTGGAAAAAATAGAGTTTTCTAAAACTTTTGACTGGTTTATGGAGATGAAAGAGCATTTAAGTAAAAAATAAATTTTGTCACTTTTTTCTGGATTCTATAAGACACAGAGTACAGAGCAAAGCTGCTAACACAGGAGTATTCTGGTCTGCTTTTGTTTTCCCAGTCAGTAACGTGCCTGCAGCATTTGGACTAATTGTAAACAAAGCAAAAGACGATTCATCAGTTCCAGTTTACAGTCGTTTAAAGTAGCACAGTTTAGGTGTAACAAAGCCTTGAAGAACTTTTTCTAGATGTCATGGATTTAGAAAAAAAATTAGTCTGAAAATTGTTCGGAGGTGGAAGAAATAACTAAATTACAAGAGACCTCCCGATAAGCTGCAGGCTTAAAAAGATGGATGAAGCTGCAGGGTCTTAAACGTGAAGCCAGTAGGTGCCCTACACCATGACTCCTTTAGTAAAAAAATAATAATAAGAAGAAGTATAGTAACATAAACGTATAACCAACACGCTCTTTGGTAATATTCATGCTAATTTTCTATTCATGACTTGAATTGCTATTTTCAAAACTTATTATAAAATAAGTTCTATTAAAGAATCTGTTGTCAATAATCACAGATAATAGGCACTTTATTGTCTATTCATCTTGCATCTACAACGGAGATCTACAGGAGTGACAGATAAAACTAGCTGTTGTCTCATCCACTTATGTTGCAGGCTCCATAGAAAAAACTCTGAATGCATTAAAATGATTCTTAATTATTTGAAAGGAAACAACATTTTCTTTCTTTCCTCTGTCCATCTGTCCATTTTCTCCTGCTTATCCAATTAAGGGTTGGGAGGGAGCTGCTGTAGGGTGACAAGACGGGGTAGACCCTGGACAGGTAACCAATATATCGCAGAGCTCCATATTTTTCCATGATTCTATAATATATAAAATATACTGCTTGTATGTCCTGCTGATCACAGTGTTAGAATTCCATTATTATGTATTGCTTGCTGTCTTTATCTCTCACCATCAATCTGCCCCTCAACCAAATACCCCAGTTTTGACTCCTTGAAAGTTAACCTTTGAAGTACACTCTGACTAGCTCTGTGAAAATACCAGCTCACACTAGTCATCATTAGATACAATTGTATGCTTGTCATGTTAGAGAAGACTTAGTGGTGAATATCTGAATCTTGATCTCTGAGTAGTGCAACAACACAGGGGTGCCTGAAAGGAAACTTCACAATGCAGCATTGTGAAGGCAGCGACAGGCCTCATTAGCTACACCGCATCCTGGTTATCTGATCTCCATGCAAAGGCTGACTTATACCAATGATTGAGACTCGTGACTCACCTCAAGATCAAAGGCAGAGTGTCAAACTACATGCCAAAGCCACATTTCATGACAAAGCAGTAAGAAAAAAGTGCTAGAGTGCGAAACTGGAGACCCTTATTTGAAATGGGAGCTTTTCTGGTCAGTGTTAGTCAGCAGTGATCATCTGCAGGTAATGAGATTTGTTTTCATGATCTGTGAGTGAGGAATCTAATGAAAGTTATACTGCAGGTATTATAAGGTCAGACTGACTGTCAGTAGGGGAATTTGAGGTGAAGTTTTGAACTGTGGTTTTCTCCTTTGTCTCCTTTTATGTGAAACCTAAGAAGGCTCATCTGATGCCTTGATTCATTCTCATGCACCGAAAAACAATAATCTCTTACACAAATCACCCACCTGATACTACTGAGTGATGGCTTGAATTAAGCATGCCCTTAAACATTATTTAACTCAATAAAGAGAACCTTCAGGGAACCAGAGAGACACTGTGAAAAATCATGACAGCATAAAACATAACATGTGTTAGAATCTTGGGAATCATGTTTGAGTCTTATTCAAAATTGGAAGACAATATAGTTCACAGTGTTCATGTACACTTGATAAATGCAGCATTACTGAAATCACATTATATTTTTCAGTAATGTGGTAATGTAACTGTACTGTACTGAATACTGTAATTACACTGGAGATAGAAAAAAAAACCCCAATAAAAACATCAAACATGACTGTTTTTTCCTGCACTACAAACAGCTGATGTTAGTTCATGGTGAAGAAAATGATGATGTCGTCCACAACCTCTGAGGTCTGGAGATGTGGAAATCAAATTTATCGTTATTGTACAAAAGGACAAGAGTGTGATGTAAAATGCAATCGGTGTCCAAAACGGAAACATTCTGCTGACTCGAACTCGACTCTTTGTAAAGATAAACTTTTCCTTGTGTTGTTGACTTTTGTGTTCAACCTTAAGCACTAGAAGCAAAAAATAAAACACTAGAACAAAAATCTTGAATGTTCTTTGTTATGATGAAGATTTGTGTCATTATTTATGTCGTAACTTACGAAGTAACTAGAAACCCCTGTTAAGCCTGCAACCCTCTTCTACGCCAGTCAGAGTCGTTGCTGCGTTGACCTCACGTTCAGTTACATTTCTCGAGAAGTGCATGTCAGGTTGTGCTGAGGGTTAAGTAATATACTACATTGTTATAAAGAGAGGTAATAAGTAATGTGTAATATATTACTTTTTTTAGTAGTAACTCCAAGACATTGTAGTACTCTGTGGGCTGATGGGATACTGTGAATGGATTTGGGGGATCACTCTCTGTGGGTTAATCTCTAGTGTCCACCTGCCTCTCATAGTCATTTGATAACAATATTGATTACTGTCATTTTGAGAAGTTAACAGGTAATGCTTTTATCTGCGTTTCCAAAGTCGAGCCATCTGACTCTGCCCTCGAGAAGGGATTGAATTGATTTCACTTAAAAGTCCACATACACAAAACTTGCAAGGTTTTTGAATGGAAGTGAAAGAAATCTCTCTATTTCATTTGCCTTCAGAACATCTGTGAAGAATTCTGTGGATTGCCTGTATGGCATCAAATGGATTACACCAAAAGTATAATGGGCCGAGCTCCTTCTAGGTTAAAAGGTCATTTGGAGTGCTCAGAGTACCAACCTGCATACAGAAATCTGCTTTCAGTCCATCAAGCTGCCTGCTTCATTTAACCAACACGATCAACCATAGAAATGGAGTACAGGCTTCTTCCCTCTGCTCATAACCTTTCTCTTTTTTCACTTATCTATAATGAAGTTGAGAACTACTTAAATTTAAGTTTCCTTTTATCAGCTCACGCTTGCTTTGTAAGAAATGTTTGTCAGATCTCAAGGGGTTGGTGGTGGTATTACAAGCAAAAGTAGAATAGTGTACTTCAGGTCATAAAAGTACAATATTTTCTTAAAAGGGATCTTCTATCAAAAGAACGTTTAAATCCTGGGCAAAACCAAGGCTTGGTTTTCCCCAGACAGTGTTGCACAAAATCCAGCAACTAAAGATGTTCCCAGAATAAAGATAACCTCAGGCTAGGAAACAAGTGGAAAGAGTCAAGGACATATCACAGTCTTCATGACAAGAATTTTATTTTCTTTTTTTTTTTTTTTATTACATTTTGCATTAAATTAAAGAGTTCTTTTTTTTCTTTACAACATACATTAAGCTGTGAATCAGATGTTAAGGAAGTGGAGAGAGTAGGGCAAAAAACTTTGTGACGTCACGATATCTTACAAGCTTACAAAGTTCAAAAGTTTGAGAAGTTGAGAAGAGAGTAGATTTGCATCTAACAGCAGTGTATTATAACAAGGGTGAAAGACAAAAAGGCACACACCAAAGAACCTCACTGTCCACAGCAGCCTTCAGCCTTTAAAACGCTCAACTTTTCTCTAATATCAAAACACTTGATGTTGCTGAATCATAAATGCACCCACAGCCAAAAGCACTTGTCTACACAGGATGTGGACATTTAACCTTCAAACCTAGACAGGTTCTCTTGTTCACATTCAGTGTGGACATGACAATTCATCCAGGTGGGAGACAACGCAACTGAGCATTTCAAAACCAGAAATACTCAGCTGAGGATAAGCCTTACTCCAGGCGTGGGAATGTTGCTGGTTCATGCACTCAGTGCACCGGAGGGTGTAAGTAAGGTGTTCAGACACTAATTTAAAGCAAAGTAGTTTTATGAAAGTCTGGAGTGAACACACGTCTATGCGTATCTGAACTTTGAAGGTCCTCGCTTCAAGTTAATCGATGCTATAACTGTTGCAGCTTTATCCCGGACCATGTTTTAGATGGGACGCGTTCCTCTCGGTTCATATTTTGAACTAATCCATTGCCCATGACCTCGTCACGAGCAACCATTCCCTTCGAGCATCTATGTACACATTAGTCAGGTCCCAGATCCTGCATGTCAGTCTTATTCGAGCTGTGGACTGAGACACTCTTGGCTTTCCTCCAGAAAGAATATTGATATCGAGAAAACTTTAACCTATCTACACATACAACACTAAGGGAGTGCTCCAATGACTTAAGTGTTTCAGTGTGGGGTGATCCATAAAAACCCTCAAGTAAAAAGGAAGTGAAATCATCTGATTAGTTAAACTCTCAGCCATTCATAAGGCTTTGATAATGAGAGTTAGTGAGGCAAAATAAAATAAAAAAATCTCTAAACTTCCCAAACTGTGTTCGCTTACAAAAAGGGGGTTAAATAATGTACAGTTTTTAATAGTGTTGTTTCAAAATGTCATCTTTTTTTTTCTTTTCCACAGGAACCAGCCTGTTTATGCAACCGTCTAACAAGTGAATGTTTCAATGCGCGCAAGAAGCCTCGACTTGTGTTAGTACGCTGGGTGTTCACGTGTATCTCGTACTGTACGCTTGCTATGGTGCTATCGCAGTGCACCAAGGGAAGATACACCTACGTTGGCCTCCTTAAGCAACAAATGTTAATTGTTCCGTTAACCAATTAACCATCACTCCAAACGAACACCAAAAACAAGTAAAAACAAATACCAGGACTTTGTATAAAACAGGAAATGAAAAACACTCACAAAGTCTTTATCGACACTGCCAGCACAACATAAAGGGTCGTTTTAAGCGCATTAATGGCACAATCAGAAATGAATCACAAAGATGAGTGTGTGTGTGTATGTGTGCATGTGTTTATGTGTGTGTGCCAGAGAGAGAGAGAGAGAGCGAGAGTGTGTGAATGAAGAAAGGAATTGCTCCTTCCTCTCTTCCCTCTGGTCTGTAAGTGTGTTTTGTCTAGGGACCAGAATTACAACAATAACACCTACATTCTTTAATTGCATTTTTATCAAACAAGGGAAATATCATGACATAAGAAAAAAAAACAGAAAATAAAAAAATACAACAAGGAGACAGAGTTAACAGCTATTAAAGAAAACATTGTCACTACTTCAGGGTGTAAGGCACAAATTTACATGTGGAAAAAGAAGCAGGCAAGACAGATGTTCCTATAATTTCCTTTTTTTCGCCCGCTCTTCCGCGTGACGCCGCTAGAAAAGACGATACGTTCCAAGATGGAGGCACCGCTCGTTTGCTTGCAGCCTCACTTACAGCTTCCTTTTGTATGCAGATCCCCCCGTGCGGTTGCTGCAGCTGCTTCTCTTATATTTGCAACATGCAACAGTGAGCTGTGATGGCACCAGTAAGCCAGCAACCAATCAGGACAAATGTTTGGGACTCACACAAAACCACAGTGCTGATTGCAGGAGTGAAAGGGTGAGGTTCAGGATTTCTTTCTTTCTTTCTTTTCTTTTTTTTAAATGATTGGTCTAAAACAAAGGAGATTCTGGTCCGTAAAAGTAAAAGTCCTGGTCTGGCACAGTTTAAATAAATATCTCCTCGTCGTCAAAGAGGTCACGTATATTCTCAAGCTGCAGGTCCCACTGAGCACACAGTAAGACCTAGTTGAACTTTAGTCATTAAGAAAGTTCTACTGGCTCCAGTTTAATGACTTTAAATATTTTCTTCCTCACTCTTGATTAATTAATATTAAAAGATCTCTTCTTTGTCCTCTTTCTCTCCAAGCCTAGAAAGTCAGTCTGTTTGTTTTTCAAAAGCACTTAATAAAAATAAATACAACAAGCTATTAGTATTAACAGTCATGTGTTATTCAGTCACCAGTACAGTAGAAGATTCTTCTGGCCCAGGCTTTCAGTCATGCCCAGGCAGGACTTGATTGCTGTAACACTGAGAGGCTTTTCACAGTTTCCGCCAGAACTCAGGCAGCTGTCTGTCCTTTCAGTCCAAACTCGTTCTCTCTGAGTGCTTGTTTGCTCAGATCCTCCTGTCCTCAAGGTATTGTACAACAATTATTCTCCAACCCCCTTGTGACGTCTTCGTATGTGCTTTTACCAGCATGACGAAGTATCAAATCAAGTCTCAGTAAACAAAGACACCACAAACAAGAGAGCCACTGTCTTGAATGCTACAGGGTGCCAATGGATGAAATATTCAGGACAAGCATCATCTTCTTTTTCAGTAGCACATGTTCCCATGTGTGTTTACAGAGGAGCTGTGTGCCAGCCAGAGCATGAGCTCGATGACTGCCACAACCGACAACAACCATGGTATAATATTTACATATTTATATAAAAAGAAAGTGTTTTCTTTAAGAAAAAAAACTGTGTTGCATTTCCACTGTACTGTACACCAAAAAACAAACAAAAACACAAAAAGGAGATGCAAGTTGTACAGTATTCCCTGTTTTTTCTCTCTGCCAGAAAACGCCTTTCACTACTGTCTGTTCACATTGGACCGACAGGCTAACAACCCAACTATGTGCCAGAGTCACTGGACTTGACTTTTGTGGAGAGCGAGACTACAGAGGGTTTGGGGGGGACATCAGGCTTGAGATATTTGACGCCCGTTCGAGGCAGTGATCCGTAGGAGCTCATTCCAGGCTGCCTTGACAGAGATATGCCCTGTGCTGTCATTTGTATGGAGTCCACCCTCTGAGGTGCAGGTGGTGGAGTCTCAACACGGTTGAAGCTGTGATGTCTCGCCAAATGGGAGGAGTTAGAGGAGTTGGTGTTGTGTTTCTTGAGGGCGGAGGATCCACAAGCACCAGATGCTGATCCTTTCCGAAGCCCGTAGACTGACGAGTGGACCTCCAGGCGTTTGCCCATCTGTGGGACAGCAGGTGGGATGGTGAGAGAGGCCTCCCGCTGTGGCACACGAGGTGGCAGCACCGCATCTGGATCAGCCATGTTGAGGTTGTGGCACGGGCTCTTGCTTGTCTTGTACTCCAGGGTAGCCCCCTGGTCGTCCAGTACACCGTGGCCCATGCTCATATCACTGTGATGGGGCTGCTCCACATACTCATGTTGGTAGGACTGCTGGTGCTGTTGCAGATGAGGCTGAAGCTGGTGCTGATGCTGCTGCAAAGGTAGGACTACAACGCTAGGGATGTGCCCCGGTGAGGCCCTCAGTGGCAGGTCGGTAGAGATAACAGGCGACCCCATTGGTGGCATGTCCTTGGTGCACGCGTTGATGAGGTTCTGGTTTCTCTCCCACTCACGGCTTCCCCGGCTGGGCTTACGACGCGGCTGCATGGGGGTGGATTCAGGCGTTGGCAGAGCCGCAAGGTCCAGGTGGTGTTGGTCTGCTTTTATGAGCATCTTCCCATTTGGCGTCAGTCTTCCATTGTGCATCAAAGGTGTGAGAATTGCCTCGGGGCGACCTTCTTTGGCCTGCGTCTCAAACAGACCCGTCAGCTTGGTTACGCTGTTCATGGATCCCCGGCGGGAGTGGAGGTGGTGGGTGTCCTTTTCTTTACGGCCCGTCAGGTCCATGTCTCGACGACGATGGTCACAGACGCAGTAGACAATGATGCCAGAAAAGATGGCGCCCATGGCAAATGCTAGGATAACGGCGATGGCCAAGAGGGTTACAGGAACCAGCTGGTCACGACCCTTCTGGTAGCTCTCACGGATCACGCCTGCAGAGAGACACAGAGATGACATTCAGACAGGCAGACTAAAAAAGAGATGCTTTGAAGCCAATTGTTTCAAAGAAAATAAAAGAGATGCTGAAAAAGATTCTTCTTAAAAGATGAAGCAAAACATAAAAAACAGTTACAATAATTAAGATATCTTCTGGGCAAAAAGATTAACGGTTTAAATAATTTCACGAAAAACATGCAAATGCAGAAGGATTTATTCCATCATAGGAAACATCTATTCAAAATTGTAGCTTCAAGTATCAAGATTCAGTGTTTCCCCCAAAATCCAATCTCAGAGTGAAAATGTGTTTTGGAGGGGTGATTATGATTCACATTTTAAATCCCAGATAAAACCTTCTGCTGAAATGAAAAAAAGATATGAGCTCCGATAAAGGAACCTGAAATACCCGAGCCCTTTCTTCTCATAGATGCAAATGGAAGACTTTTCATAAAGCTTGGATCCAATCTCATGAATCACAGCGAATACATTAAAAAGCCTCTGATTAGGCGCTAAATCCAATGAGCTGTGTCATCAGTGTCTTATGAAAGCGCCACTTTCAAAGACTGGCAAAGACACACTGTGATAACGCCAAATAAAAGATAATTCAATAAAGGATGCTATGGAGCATTTTAGCGGTGGGTGAGCGGGAGCGGCAGGTTGTATTTAATAAAACAGGGTCAACAACAGACTGCACGCACGCACACACGAGCGTGGACACATGCACCTCCCACACATGCATGCTCAAAGATGATAGCCTGCAGCCTGTGGATGAACGCAGACATCTAATGCAGCACACTATTCTTTGGGTTAAACACACCGGTCCACAGCCGAGAGATTTATAATGCCTTCACACATGACCTATGGCCCGTACAGGTCAGTTACCACAGATAGAGGATTAGGCAGGTGGGCTCTATCGTGTAAAGGGGCTACAGCAGGGGCATCGCTCGTCTCCGCAACGTGACTCAGTTTCACATGTGTAAGGCATGTATAGATTCCTCAACACTGAGGAATCTTTACCCCAAAATGCTGGAAAAAAAATCCAAAACAAGCTGGAATGTATGTGAAGTAATTTAAGATGATATCTGTGAGTCTTTCCTGTACAGAGGAGGTTTGTTTACAATGAATCGGTGTTCTAAAATAAGCAGTAGGTGGGTGATATGATTTGTACAACAGCTTTTACAAATCAGACATTTTCATTTAGTACTAATCCAGCTACAGGTGGAAAAATTGGATGAAAATGTGTTTTTTGTTCCTTTTGTTTCACTTCTTTGAGATTGCTCTTACTGAAGTGCATTAATAAAATATTTCTGCTGCCAACTTCAGACTCTGTCTTGTTAATCTTTTTTTTTCTGATATTTTGAAATTCAGTTTTTGCTGACTGCCTCAGGTATTATTGCAGATAATGAAATATACAGTGGCTGCATGAATATAAACATTTGCTCACAGGCAAGCTGAACAACAGTTGTCAACAAGCAACAAGTAATTTCGTCCTTTTACAGTTTGCCGTCTTCACGCGTCACTTTCTTCGTCTTCCTTGCAAATTTTTCAATTTGCCCTGTAATTTTTCAAAAGCAGTTTCCACAGAACAAACATTAGTTCCAATAATTCTCCGAAATCCTGAAGGAGCTGGTTAATCATGTTTGGCTTTTCAGCTCAGCGGTGTCACTGAGGATGTACTTGGAGAGTATCTTCTTTCTGCATTTCCTCAGTGAGACATAACACAGACACAGAGAAAGCATGGTAATCTTTTCTCATGGATCTGAAATCCACACTGTCTTAAACTAACATCCATAATCTCACTCGCTGCAGTCATACTTCATTAGCCCAACAACATGAGTTAAAGCCCCTTTTTCCTAGCCGGAGTTAAGCACTCTTTAGTCTCTGTCTGGACTTTGAAGCTCAACCTGGATAAGAAAGGACACTTACATTTACCCAGATCATTCCTCATTTATTGTAAAAACAAAACTTCACTTTTCTCCTTAATAGAGTGCTGACAACATGCAGCACAGCCATAACTCACTAAAAGTTAAACAAAAGGTTTAAAAAAAAGCATCTTTCCCGGCCAAAACCTTTCCTTATCGAGGACACGCTCAGCCGTGTGGATAGTGTGAGAAGTGATGAGCGTTATCTGCAGCGCAGCATCCACGTTTGACGAGTGTTACGCTGCGAACTTGCGTGATCAAATGGCCGGCCTGTCTGATGAAACATCTGCTTCCCATCTCATCCTGTAACATCTGAGAACGAGAGAGATACTTTTCTGCGCTGCTATCTTTAACTTTGACTTTCCACTGTCCTCACTTAGATCTTTCATTCACACTTTCTGCCACTTCTCTCCTTTGCAGAAACAATGAATCACTTTTTTGACTTTCTTTTTCTTTCACACCGTTCAGCCTCCATATGGTAAGTGTTCAATTCAGTGGAGACCGGGAAGGCTGTAATTACAACCTTGTGATCTTTCTAAGTTATCACCCTTTAGCAGAAACAACAGCGGCGGTGGGGGCTGGCTGCTCTTTGAGAGCTGCTGGGTTAAATATTTCAGCGCACACGGAAGGGATGTAAAAGGAATTCAGTTTCACTTGAGATCAGGAGACCTGGAAATCTCCAAAGGACAGTTATGTAGGAAAATAAAAGTGCAAGCATAAACAAATACATTGGCAAATCTCTCGTTTTTCAATAATCCTTGTTAAAAGTAAATACTTTCATATGTCTCTGTCTGTGGAGCTGACATTGAAGCTGAAAAGAGGAAATCAAAACTGTTATGAATTTTCATGACAGTGAATTTATTACTGCTAAAGGCTAACTTTGATTGAGCGTTTGGACTTCATATTGAATAACAAAGCCGGAGGGCGGCAGAGCCAAGTGGTTGTCCATTCTGGTGAAGGAGGTGAACTGTGGAGCTGGATCTTTGACTTCTCTTGTGGGTGTGTGAGCTAAAGTTAAAACCCTATTTAACCTGCCCTGTAAGGCTCCTTTTTTTTTTCTTTTGAAGCTTTTATTCTTTTTCTCCTCTCCTTCCTCCATCACTCACTTCTCCTGCACACGCAGACATTTCCAGAAGGTACTTAGCCCAAGGCCTCGGGTAAAACACAAAGAAAAAAAAAAAAGCTAAACTTTGAAGACTTCCATCTTTCAAGTGAGGAATTGTTTCTCATCTTAACATCAAAGAGGATGAAAGTTGCCACAGAGGACACCAAGGCCGTCTCAGTTGAATCACGGGACCTCAGGGTTTTGAATCAAGATGGCTATGCCGCTCATTTCTGATCATTTGCGATCTTTGTAAACTTTCTAAAACTTCCACTACTTGACCTTGAAAAGTATCAAAGTGTTGCTAAAACTCACAGATTTTCCGCTTTAGTCTCATCTTGTTGAGGTTCTGACTATACAGTGACTTATAATCTTCTGGTTTCGCTCTTGCCTCACCCCCAGAATGCATCATAAGGCATCCTGCAGTTCAACACTTCTCTCAGCGGATGAATTGATTTGAATTTCACACCGCCTCGAGCCTCAACATTCAGATATTAAACACATATCTCAGATACTCAGATATGTCTGACTGTCAAAACAGGCCGGGTCGGCAACACTTACTTATAAATCAGAAACATTGTAATCTATTGTGACTGGAACTTGTGAATGCTCTATCTGTCTGACACACACAGATGCTCTTCCACTCTTTTAATCTTTTGAGACGCACCAACTGACTTAAGCCCACAGAGCTTGTCTTTGTGTTGTTGCAAAGAAAACTTCAAAGGTAGTTAAAAATCACAGAGGGGTTACAGAGAGGGCACTAACCTCTGACTGCGAGCGACTGCATAAAGACATTGTCTGCAAAATGATAAAAATCTTAATTGGACTTAACTGCTACTTACTATGCTTCACTCGCTGAAAGATGAAACAGTGGACCTTACCGACTACAGACAGAAGGAAGGATGAAAAAGCAGATAATGTTAAGTGGTGTGCATTTATTTACTCTGACGCGGGAGCTCGAAAAACGCCCTATTTTTTCATTAGGAACCAGTTTGTTGTCATCTTTTAAAAAGGACACTGGTATTTGGATGGTGACAACAATTCATTAACTTCTATTTAAATTCCCTGTTAGCAAATTATCCCATTAAGTCTTGTGTATGTTTGGGTTAAGAGCCACTTGCATTAATGGTGTTATTCAATATTAAAGCATTCATCAGACAATCCTGAGTCGGAGCAATGCATACTGATGAGCGAGTTAAGATATAATTAAACCCCTAATTATGTTATTCAGCACCTGAGGTATTAACATTGATGTACTAACCTATCCAACTCCCTGCATACAAACTGTAATATTTAATAGTCACAAGATATCAGCATAAATTAAACATCCCATTTTTCATCAGCTATTTGATGCCTTGACTTGACAGCGCTCCCGTTCGGATTACTGGGTGATAGATTTTTACATGCTGATATACTGAACGCAAAAAGGTCCCTCACATTAGAGTGCAACTGTTAAAACAGCTTGTCACTATTTAAACAGTGTAGACTTTTAAATTATGTGTGCATTCGTGTCTATAATCTTGAGTTCTTTCAATTAATATTCAATCTCGATGAGTCACCGTAATACAGCCGGTGACCCACCGAAGTGTATTTCACCATGTGGGCTGCAGAAAATGACTTCTGTGTATCACTGGAGTGCTATGTGTGTGCTAATACGCATTGCATTTCATTGAATCCATAAAGGCAGCCATTGGTAATTGTTTAGAAATGTTTTAGTGCTCAACAAGAGAACAAAGCCTCGGCTTGTATCTACTTGATGAGGGCTCACTCATGGACAACGTGAACATAACTGTTTAAATCCAGTTCAAAGTATAATAATGACAGCTGAATGTGGGTTAGACAAGCTTCAAGAGCACAAAGGGATGAGCCGCAGTGATATGAGATTCAGTCTCACATGGGCGAGAGACAAAGCAAAGCTCTTGTACGAACCGTCAACGGTTAGGGGGACTTATTAAAAAGCGTAACCAAAACA